AACGATAGCAGAGTGGAGAGTAAAACTGACAGAATACGCTGAGTTGGATAAATTAACAGGGAAAATCAGATATACTAAGGATCAAAAGTTTATTGAGGACTGGGGAAATTTGTGGGTTATCTGGAGAATAAATGTTTTGTAAATACAACGCTAGTGGGATTTAAAGAGGCACTGTAAAGAATTAATAAGTATTGTTTAATAGAAATAATGTATGAAGGAAGGAACGAATGGCAATATGAAAGAATGGAATGTGTTTTAAAGATATAAATACGAATGAATGTCAATGACGCTGAAGGAAGTTCAAAATGTATGAGATATATTGAAATATGGATATACTGTATAAAAAATGGGAAATCAATAAAATTTTTGAAATACAAAAAAAATAAAATAAAAAAAAATAAACATTCAACACATATTTACACAATTTGCCACATTACAGTTTATGCACGAACACTACACAAGAAAAAGAAAAATACAACAATAAATAAATAAAAAGGAAAAGGAAATAAAATGAAAGTAAGAAGGATAAAATAAACTTCCGATTGTTCTCAGAAAACTAAGTATTTTTTGTTATTTTTTGCACAGTATCATACTTTGTTTCCTTAATTTCCTTCAGAGAAATATTCTTTAGTTTGTTGTCTATACATTACAAGAATAATTTAAGGTCTGCCAGGAGGTTTTTGCTATCAATAATAGGTTTTCAAATATTCTTTAAATATTATCCATTCTTTATTCACCTTCTGCATTAAGTACCCTCTAACTCTCCCTGTCATTATTGCCAATTGGGATGTATTCTGTCAATTTTACCTGCCATTCTGACTTTGTAGGTGTAATTTCACTCTTCCAATTCATTGCAGCATCCTGTGCCAGAATCCTGGCAGCAGATGTTGCATACATAAAAAGTGGTCTTACTTCTTTCTTGATTTCAGGTGACATTATCCCTAATGAAAAGAAGGCCTCTGGTCTTTTTGTGAATGTGAATTTGAATATCTTTTTTTATTCGTTGTATGCTGTTGTTTAGTCATTTAGTCGTGTCCGACGCTTCGTGACCCCCTGGACCAGAGCACGCCAGGCACTTCTGTCTTCCACTGCCTCCCGCAGTTTGGTCAAACTCATGTTGGTAGCTTCGAGAACACTGTCCCATCACCTCGTCCTCTGTCGTCCCCTTCTCCTTGTGTCCTCAATCTTTCCCAACATCAGGGTCTTTTCCAGGGAGTCTTCTCTTCTCCTGAGGTGGCCAAAGTCTTGGAGTCTCAGCTTCACGATCTGTCCTTCCAGTGAGCACTCAGGGCTGATTTCCTTCAGAATGGAGAGGTTTGATCTTCTTGCAGTCCATGGGACTCTCAAGAGTCTCCTCCAGCACCATAATTCAAAAGCATCAATTCTTTGGCGATCAGACTTCTTTATGGTCCAGCTCTCACTTCCATACATCACTACTGGGAAAACCATAGCTTTAACTATACGGACCTTTGTTTGCAAGGTGATGTCTCTGCTTTTTAAGATGCTGTCTAGGTATTCGTTGTATACAGTGTCCCAAAACTCTTTGATTTTTTTTCCGCATTCACACCACATATGCATATATGAACCTCTCCCCTTTTTACCTCTCCAACAGGTTTCAGATCTTCAAATATCTGAAGGGCTGTCACATAGAAGAGGGAGGAAGGTGGTTTTTTGCTGCTGCAGAGGGAAGTAAACACAAATTAATGGCTTCAAATGTCAAGGAAAGGGATTCCAATGAAACTTTTTGACAGTAAGAGCTGTTTGGTGGTGGAACAGTCTCCCTCAGAAGATGGTTGACTCTCCTTCATGGGAGGTTAAAAAAAATAATTAGTTTTTTTAACATATCATTTCCAACAATCATATAACATAACTTCTTATCTTATACAATGTTTTAGACTTCCGTCAACACCTCTGATGATTTTCCGTTCTTTCTCTCTTATTCTGCATTTCTTAATTTCTCTATTACTCTTCATTATCATTAACTAATAATTCTCCTCATAGTCTTTCTTGTAATATTTCATATAGTCCTCTTTACAAAACTTCTTGCAGTCCTACTAGCGTAATCTGTTCATCACTATTACTTTTCAATTAGTTCGTATATTTACTCCAGTTTTCTAAGAATCTCTGGTCCTGCAGGTTTCGAATCCTTCCTGTTAATTTATCCAATTCTGCATAGTCCATCAATTTCATCCGCCATTCTTCTTCCGTTGGTAATTCTTCTTGCTTCCATTTTTGTGCCAGTAATATTCTTGCTGCTGTCATTGCATATAAAAACAACTTACAGTGCTGTCTATTAATCTCATCTCCTACAATGCCAAGTAAAAATGCTTCTGGTTTCTTGATAAATGTATATTTCAACATCTTTTTCATCTCATTATATATCATTTCCCAGAAGTTTTTCACTTTTTTACATACCCATCACCTTCATGGTAGGTTTTTAAGCAGAGGTTGGATGGTCATCACTCAGAGATTCTTTAGATGTGATTCCTACATTGTAGGAGGTTGGACCAGATGAGACTTGGGAACCCTTCGAACATGACAATTCAATGATTCTATGAGTGGTTATGCAAAGAAGTTGATGTACAAAGAGGCAGCCTCAGAGACCTTGACACACGTCATTCAGGAAACCCAGAGTAAATTTGCCATCTTTTCTGAAATGACAGAGTCCCAAGTCATTATCTGCATATCAACGGAGCAATGTCCAGAACTCCTATCTGCACTACAAAGGAAGCTGTAAGCCAGGGGTCAACAAACTTTTTTAGCTGGGGGCCGGTTCACTGTCCCTCAGACCTTGTGGGGGGCCGGACTATATTGGGGGGGGGGGGCAAATGAATGAATTCCTATGCTCCACAAACAACCCAGAGATGCATTTTAAATAAAAGGACACATTCTACTCATGTAAAAACACGCCGATTCCCGGACCATCCACGGGCCGGATTGAGAAGGCGATTGGGCCGGATCTGGCTCCCGGGCCTTAGTTTGCCTACCCGTGCCCTAAGCTCTGTCCAGGATTGCCATGAAATTGTCACCATTTTTAAAAACAGTTCACTGATTTTTAGCAATTAAACAGGTATAATATTTTTTAAAAGAAACAAAGATTTATTCATACAGTGGCACAACAAAACATCAGTTCAACAAATGTAATAAATATTTGCAAAAATATTTATAGACTGCCATTTCATTTATAAAAAAAAAAATTCAAAGTGGTTGACAACAGTACTACATCAATAGTAAATTAATAGTACATCAGACCATACAGTACAAGCTGTACAAACCACATAAAAGGCTAAAATGAGTTATCAATTAACTGCTGCAGAAAGATGCATTCTGAATTGCCCACATTGTCGGCATCCGTCTGTCTGGAGAGACTATGGAGTGTGCCTCCGGTATTCTTATTTTAAGCGACCAAATTAGAGGCACCTCTCTCCTGAGCCAACTTGCTGCTATTGCCTGCATCGACCTAGCAGAACAGACATAGGCGTAGATTAGAATCTTTATTTGCATCAGCCACTAGGCATGGCAGAATAGAAAGGTTTCCAGGCAAGATGTTGGCCAAGAAGGTGCCGGCTGAATGTCTAGCTGCAGAGAGTTCCAATGGGCCAATGACACAAAAGGTGTCGGTTTCTTGCTGTTATCGAATGATCCCTCGATCGAATGTTGGGATCTCTTCTCTTTCCCAGATTTTTTCGATGAGCTTGTGAAATTGTTGTGTAAGTGAAATTCTGCCCACTTTGAAGATTTCGGCAGGTATCCCATCAGGTCCACTGGCTTTGTTGTTTTTCATTTGGTTAATAGCTGTACACAACTCTCCCAGATTTGGAGATACTGCAAGCTCATCTCTAACTTTGTGAGAGGACCTCAGCAGCCACAGGGGAGCTGCGGTTAAGGAGATGTTGGTAATGTTCTTTCCAGCACAGCGCAATAGCTTCTTTATCTTTTAGAAGTGTGGTACCGTCTGTCGGGGGCGCGGGTGGCGCTGTGGGTTAAACCACAGAGCCTAGGATTTGCCGATTGGAAGGTTGGCGGTTCGAATCCCCACAACGGGGTGAGCTCCCGTTGCTCGGTCCCTGCTCCTGCCAACCTAGCAGTTCTAAAGCACGTCAAAGTGCAAGTAGATAAATAGGTACTGCTCTGGCAGGAAGGTAAACGGTGTTTCCGTGCACTGCTCTGGTTCGCCAGAAGCGGCTTAGTCATGCTGGCCACATGACCCGGAAGCTGTACGCCGGCTGCCTTGGCCAATAAAGCGGGATGAGCGCCGCAACCCCAGAGTCGGCCACGACTGGACCTAATGGTCAGGGGTCCCTTTACCTTTACCTTTACCATCTGTTGAGCGTAGGGGACATATGCTCCAGTTGGAGAACAGCCTTTACCAAAGGTGTCATGGGCTTTGAAGACACTTGAACTGAGGACAAAAGAGAGAAACGTGCTAAGAGGAAGGCACGCTTGGCAAATCCACACCATGATCAACTCCTGCCCAGGAACCAATGTCCCCACTGTGGAAGGACGTGTGGATCCAGAATTGGCCTCCACAGTCACTTACGGACTCACTGTTAAAACAGTGTTTATGGAAGACAATCTTACTTGGCTACGAGGGATCGCCAAAGAAGAAAGAAGAAGAAACAAATTCACAGCTTGTAATGCCTTGAAAGAGACTATGATGAAAATGATGAATAGATGGTATATTACACCTGTGAAATTAGCCAAAATGAGTGCTTACTGAAGGACAGAACCTGAAGCTGAGGCTCCAAGACTTTGGCCACCTCATGAGAAGAGAAGACTCCCTGGAAAAGACCCTGATGTTGGGAAAGATGGAGGGCCCAAGGAGAAGGGGACGACAGAGGACAAGATGGTGGGACAGTGTTCTCGAAGCTACCAGCATGAGTTTGACCAAACTGCGGGATGCAGTGGAAGACAGGAGTACCTGGCATGCTCTGGTCCATGGGGTCATGAAGAGTCGGACACAACTAAATGACTAAACAACAACAACAACGATGGTTAGAGTCGGGTATAAGAGCTTAAAATTTATTGCGCAAACATGGCTTAAGAGGGTAACTCTCAGCTTCAGGAGAGGCCAAACAAATTTGTAACGGAGTGGGCAGTATCAGGTAACTTGATATTTCACTCAGTTTCAATCCACTTTTGATTTGTATACCGCCTTTCTATATTACTATACACAAGGCAGTTTGCAGCAACAAACAAAGAACACACACCTTATAATAATCTGATCCTATACAGAAAGTCGTAATAAAGCATAACTTTAAAATGGAACAACTCATATCAAATAAAGTAATATTCAATATTCTATTAGAATATAACAGTACACAATTAAATTAACTCTCAAAACATCAGCAAATAATAATTAAACAGAAATTCACTCTTAACAATACATAAAATACCACAATGCGTACAAACTGATGTAAAAGGTTTAAATTGAAAAACAAAGACACACAACTTATAATTATTATTTTTAATGGGGTCTCAACTGGCAGCGACTCTCCAGCAAAGAGATCTTGGGGTCATGGTGAATGAAGTTTGTTTTTATTTATTTTGTAAAATTTGCGCAGAACAATCTCTAAGCAGCTTGCCAGAAGTATTAAGACCATCAAGAAAAAGCAGGTAAAAATATATGAAAACAACTGAGATTTACGGTAAAAGAGATTAAAGCACATCAACATGCATGCGCCTTGATTGGGTTGGCAAGACAAAAATGACTCAAATGGAAAACTTTCATCTATTTGCAGCGGGAGAGCAGATCAATTCTGTCCTAGGAATTATTAGGAATTATGAGGAAAGGGAAGGAAATTGAAAACAACTTGCATCGTAATGATCCTACATAAATCTATGGTGACGGCTAGATTTGGAAGATCGTGCATGGTGTTGGTTACTTCATCTCAAAAAGGGTATTTTCGAGCTTGGAAAACATGTGTTTAGCGGGAACATGGAGCACTTTCCCAAGAAGGGTGCGCTTCATCAACTGGGCGCCTTCCAGCTGGGGCTGGCGGGAGTTATAGTCCAAACATCTGGAGGGCACCCGGTTGCCAAAGGCTGAACAAAAGCATTGCGAAGTTTTTAATTTTGGGCGGTGGGGGGGGGGAGAACTACTGTATTTTTGCTCTATAAGATGCACCCGACCATAAGACGCACCTAGTTTTAGAGGGGGAGAACAAGGGGAAAAAATATTCTCTCCCTCTCTGCACAGCGCTTCTTCAGCGAAGCGGCAGGAGAAACGGAGCCCCTTCCATTTCTCCTCCCACTTCGCTGAAGGGGCGCTGCGCAGAGAGGGAAAGTTGCGCAGTGCCTCTCCAGCGAAGTGAAGCCAGGAGAGCAAGAGGGATCAGTGTGCACCGATCCCTCTTGCTCTCCTGGCTTCAGCGAAAGCAACACAAAGCCTCAGGAGTGCAGCGGGAGCTCCATAAGACGCACACACATTTCCCCTTACTTTTTAGGAGGGGGGAATTGCATCTTATAGAGCGAAAAATACGGTAAGAGGGAAACAGGAGTAAGCTTCACAAAAATCAATTATGTCTAGCGTGGAGAAAGTGGACAAGTTTTCCCTTCTTTTCTCATTATTCACACCAGAGAATCATAGAATTGTACGGCTGGGAGGGACCACTGGGATCTAATGCAGTCCCTTGCAATGCAGGAATATTTTGCCCAACTTGGGACTCGAACCCACAACCTTTCATGCTCTACCAACTGAGCTATGAATCTCTTGCTACGAAGCATCCAGAAGCGATTTTGCAACCCAGTAATAACATGGATTATATATAACCGATCACCAATATAAAAACACGGCTGCGTATATACAACAATATTTGATTGATTACTGTATTTTTCCGTGTAAAAGACTAGGTTTTTTCCCTAAAAAATAATGTCCAAAATTTGGGGGCATCTTATACATATTCCCCCTTTTCTTAAATCAGAGTCCCCCAAAATAGGAGGCGTCTTATACATGTGGGCATCTTACAGACAGAAAAATACGGTAATTAAAATATGCATAGACTGCCTTTAAGGGTCAAAACCGTCCCAAGGCAGTGTTTGGCAAAACATGTAAGTGGAAGTGCAGAATTTTATAAATGTCTATCATGTCACCTTTTGCTTGCCTTTCCTTCAAACTAAGAAGTCCCAAACACTGCAAACTTTCTTCATAAAGGATTTGCTTCATCCCCTCGATCATTTTCTGAACCTTTTCCAACTCCACAATATTCAATAAGTTTTCCCAACACTGCAATATATAGAGAGAAAGCCACGCTAAAACACTGATTTTTTTTTATGATGGTTTAAGACACACAAACACACACAAACTTGATGTGGAAATCTGGCAAAGGAAACTCAAGCATGGGATAATGAAAAAGTGAGAGAAAGCAAAATTGACAGATCCCTCTCATCTGCCCCAGAACCATTCCCAGGACTCTGTTGGAGAGTTCTCGTAAGCCTCCTTGGGATTACTCCATGGCAAAGCGATTCGAGAACCAAATGCCTTCTGGAAACTGAGACAACACGTCAGCCCCAACACCTCTGGCTGACTTCGCCCAGCTGTCTCGTACAAATTGTTTCAAAACCTCGCAACAAGCCGTTTCGGGGAATCGTGGAATTTAAAAGTTGGAAGGGACCCCAGGGGCCAATTTGTCCAATCCCCTCCAGTGCAGGAATCTCAACAAAAGCATCCATGACAGATGTCCATCCAAACTCTGCTCAAAAACCTGCAAGAAAGGAGAGTCCACAACCTCCCGAGGGAGACTTGTTGAGCAGCTCTTGCTGTCAGAAAGTTCTTCCAGATCTTCCAGATCTTTAGTTTTGAATCTCCATTCTTGTAACACGAAGCCATCGGTTCGAGTCCTACCCTTGATTCACCAAGCTTGTAACTCTGCAGAGAAAAAAAGGAAAAAAAGAGATTAATTTGGTTTGACTTGTTTTTGAGAAACCCATGCTGGGTCTTAGTAATCACAACATCCTTTTCTAAGTGCTCACAGACCGTGGAATTATCAGATAGTTGAATAAACAACTATCTGACATTTAGAAGACATCTGAAGGCAGTTTTTAATGACTGATGCTTTAATGTTGCTGTCCATGGAGGTGCAGGTCAATTCTGTGTCCAGGGCAGCTGTTTACTAGCCCCATCTGGTACACAGGATGAGACCCTCCCTTTCCGCAGACTGTCTCGCCAGAGTGGTGCATGCTCTAGTTATCTCCCGCTTGGACAACTGCAATGCGCTCTACGTGGGGCTACCTTTGAAGGTGACCCGGAAACTGCAATTAATCCAGAATGCGGCAGCTAGACTGGTGACTGGCAGCGGCTGCCGAGACCATATAACACCGGTCTTGAAAGACCTGCATTGGCTCCCTGTATGCTTCCGAGCACAATTCAAAGTGTTGGTGCTGACCTTTAAAGCCCTAAACGGCCTTGGTCCAGTATACCTGAAGGAGCGTCTCCATCCCCATCATTCAGCCCGGACACTGAGATCCAACGCTGAGGGCCTTCTAGCGGTTCCCTCATTGCAAGAAGTGAGGTTACTGTGAACCAGGCAGAGGGCCTTCTCGGTGGTGGCACTCGACCTGTGGAATGCATTGGCTACCCCTGCCATAGGAACACCCGAAATTTATTATTAGTATTTGCCTTATTTACCCACTTTTCATCCTAAGATCCTCAGGCAGTGAAATAGGATGGGCCACCCCCAAAGACCAAGGCAGTCTCAATTCCATGAACAGGCCTGAAGCCGGACTGGATTTCAGCTGCTCTCCCAAGGGAAGTGTAGTTTTATGGAAGAGGTCGGGCTGCAAGAGAGCATTTTTCCCATTTTCAGAAAATGGGAAGCCAGGACAGTAGAACTGATGCAAACCTGTAGGGCAAAAATGCCCATGGGCTCCTTTCCCTGTCTGCTCAACACATGAAAGACCGCGATGGTCAAGGTACATATCATTTAGTTTTATCAGGATGAGGTTCCCTTTGCTTAGCTGAACAGCAGATATACCTGCTCTGTTTTAAATTAAAACAGGCTTTCAAGTATGCTGACTCATGATGCTGGCTAACCACCCGAGATTTAACAAAGCAAATCCGAATCAATTTGCAAAGAATCTGCTGTGAGCAGAGAGAGAACATTTTGCAGGTATTGCAGAGCAAGGAAGGAGCTGGCTTGCAAAGTGTTTGTCGCAACCAAGCTCTCTTCTGGGTGTTTACCACGCTCAGGAATATTCTTTTGGAATGTCCCGAGGAAATTAAGCAGAACAAAATGGAAAGGTGTAATAGTTTTGAGAGTGGGAGGCTGGGCGATCAACCGTAGAACTGGGTGCTTCTGGTGGTTTGGAGTAGATGCATTCTGCTAGGAGGACTAATAGAATAAAAACAAAGGCTGAGATAGAGTCTGCTTTGCTAAAGAGCTGGGATAAAGACCAGAAATGCCATCAAAGCCCATTAGCTAAAGACTCCACCTGGCATCCATGCTGGGAATTTCCAGAACCCAGAAACATCCCATTTTTGCTAGCAAAACATTTTATGCCTAAAGAGCCATGCTGAGTCTTCTAAGAACAGGATGCAGGACTGGGTGGGTGGGCCTGATCCTGCAAGACCCTTCCTATGTTCTTACTTCAAGGACTCAAGGCATAGGAATACATTTTGTATATGTTGATTGATACGCACTGGATTTAAGCTAACTTTCAGGGTTGGCGTGAGGACATAATCTGGCTCTTCCTATTCAGGGGTCTCGGTTGCAAGAGGATTTCCTGGACCCGATACAACGCACGGGGACTGAACCCACCCACCCACAATGTACTGGCAAGAACGGCTGCTTATGTACATATTAAACCTGAAACAAGTCTGTCCAACAGCCAACATGACTTCTCCTTTACACAGACATAATCCCTTCTGCATCTCATCCAACTATGGCAAGTCCTTGCAAGCTCCTAATCACAAGTCAATAACATTTGCACAGTAACAATTGGCAGGAGGGGGGGAAAGGCAGGAGATCTGGAGCCTGGCATTAATGGCCGAGGTCCACTAGGCTGCCCACTAACAACATCCCTGCTGTGCGATGGCTTCTCTGGAACACTCCCAACGGCTTCGGGAAAGAGGGAGAAATACACACGTTTTCTTGTTGGCATCTGTTTCTCTTGACAGACAGCGGAGTGGGCCTCCAGGGGTGAAGTCAAACTGCTGTGTTAGCAGCACCGAAGTGACCTTTCCAGGATGCAAGCCTGGGCAGCATGAATGGAGGTCCTGGGCTGCCCAGAGAAGACCCCCCTCTTGACCTCACGGATGGGATCCAAAGGAAAGTAGAGCAAGACGTTTGGAGACAGCTTGGCTGCTGCAGTTGCCAGAAGGAGGCATATAAGCCAACTGTCTTAGGGACTCCACTCTGCATTTTTGTAGGGTTTACTCCTTAGCCCATTATTATTATTATTATTATTATTATTATTATTATTACTACTACTACTACTATTTTATTTATACCCCGCCCATCTGGCTAGGTTTCCTCAGCCACTCTGGGCTGCTTCCAACAGAAGATTAAAAATTACCGTATTTTTTGCTCTATAAGACTCACCTTTTCCCCTCCTAAAAAGTAAGGGGAAATGTGTGTGCATCTTATGGAGCGAATGCAGGCTGAGCAGCTATCCCAGAAGCCAGAACAGCAAGAGGGATTGCTGCTTTCACTGCGCAGCGATCCCTCTTGCTGTTCTGGCTTCTGAGATTCAGAATATTATTTTCTTGTTTTCCTCCTCCAAAAACTAGGTGCATCTTGTGGTCTGGTGTGTCTTATAGAGCGAAAAATATGGTACATTAAAACATCAGTCATTAAAAACTTCCCTGATTTTAACAGAAGATTAAAAATACATTAAAACATCAGTTGTTAAAAGCTTCCCTGAACAGGGCTGCCTTCAGATGTCTTCTAAACGTCATATAGTTGTTTATTTGTTTGACATCTGATGGGAGGGCGTTACACCGGTTGGGCGCCACTACTGAAAAGGACTTTCTTCTGCTGAAGATGTCCTACAAGGCAACAGAAGTTTAGGATCAGTGTTTTCCTTCTCCTAGATGGCCTCCCTTCCCAGGTTGACAAGTCCCATCTGCCCATCACTTCCCTCTGAAGCATGGGCAGAAACCACCTTCTTGACCGCTGGACCCATTCTTGGTCTTGTCCGTTCAATCTGCCGCAGCCTGAATGCCCATGCGGGGGAAGCCCCTAACTGACCGAGGGATTGAGAACCATCGGCTTCCAATAAGGAAATCCCAACAAAAGAACAGTGGCAAGAATAATTGATGAGCTATGCAGAGTTGGCTGAATTGACATACAAACTGCAGGACAAGGACAACTGTGACTTTAAGGAAGAATGGGAGCTTTTTACAACTTATCTAAAAAGACAACAAAATGAATTGGACTCCTTGGCAGGTTTTGAATAAACATAGAGTCATACCTGGAGTTGAATGTGCTTCAGATTGAGTGCTTTCGGGTTGCGCTCCGCGGCAACCCGGAAGTAACAGAGCGCCGGGTTTCGCCACTCGCGCATGTGCTCAAAATGACATCACGTGCATGCACGGAAGCGGCAAAACGCAACCCGCGCACTCGCAGACGCGCTGTCGCGTCTTACGTTCCATTCAGGATGTGAATGGGGTTCCGGAACGGATCCAGTTCGCATCCCGAGGTACCACTGTACACAAATTTGTTAGTTGATAACATGATAACATGGTAGATAGATAAGGTAAGGACATGTATAATTTTATAACATGCAGAGAGTAAAATGTACAAAGAATCAGAGAGAGGAGCTGAGGGAAGTCTGGGGGGGAGGGAGTGTTTAAAGGGGGGGAATAATAAATATGCTATGTTTTGACAATTTGTTATGTGGAATTTGTTAATAAAAACATTTTTTTAAAAGAGAACCGTCGGCTTCCCTCACCCGGTTGAGCCAGCCAGTCGAAGCAGTTTCCCAAGGTGTGACCATTGTCACATGCTGACAGCTTCTAGGAGCCACAGATGAGAGCAGAGTGCAGGGTGGGGACAAAAGGTGGACGAACGACCCCAGAAGGAGCACGTGCCCCCCGCCAGAGGTTCTACTCCTCCTCTTAACACCCTATAAGGACCCCTGGACAGTTAAGTCCAATCAAAGGCGACTATGGGGTTGCGGCGCTCATCTCGCTTTCAGGCTGAGGGAGCCAGCGTTTGTCCACAGACAGCTTTCCGGGTTATGTGGCCAGCAGGACTGAACTGCTTCTGGTGCAACGGAAGACCATGACGGAAACCAGAGCACACGGAAACGCCGTTTACCTTCCCGCCGCAGCAGTACCTACTTATCTACTTGCACTGGTGTGCTTTCAAACTACTAGGTTGGCAGGAGCTGGGACAGAGCAACAGGAGCTCACCCCGTCGCGGGGATTCGAACTGCCAACCTTCTGGATGGCAAGCCCAAGAGGCCCAGTGGTTTAGACGACAGGGCCACCCGTGTCCCATTAACACCCCATATCCTCCAGCAATACAAAAGCAAAGTTGGAATTGGGAATGTCGTGTATGGAGGCAAAATGAATGTGGTTCATAATCTGGATTGTATTGTGTCTATGTGTTTTCTGGTATGGGTGCCATATAAAAATGGAAGAGAAAAAATATTCTGGCTCGCTTCTGCAAATAAGGTCCTGCTGGCACACAGGATCATCTTTTATTTCTGCTTCAAAGTCAATTCCACTCTGGTTTTTCTCCTTCATGTGCTGGCAGAAGAAGCCAAGATTGAGAAGGGTCCGCAGGGGAGTTCGCAGCTCCATTCCTTGACATGAAGAGAACCGATTCCCACCCAAGCCCTCGGGATGAGGTTGAACTAGACGTTTAAATGAAGGCAGCCTCGTATAGAGGAGGGGGTGGGGGAGCCAACGCCAACTTTAAAATTAAAAAAAGTGCTAGGGAATATTACGGAATCGAACAACTCATAGCGATCTTCTTTGAATGTATAGTCCACCCAGTCTCTAAGGGCAAGAAGAGGGCAAGAGGAGAGAAAACTGGACCACGCTGCAAATATTCCAATATTCTCCACCCTATTTATGGGATTGATAAATGAGGTACCAAATTTCTCCAAGGGGAGGGGGGACGATGGTGCTCCTCGTGAGCAGGGAGGAGAACACAAGCTTCTTCCTCCCTCCCCACGTTGAAGATGCTGCTACAAGTAAGCAACATAAGCGGTGGGAACGCACAGCCCTGAAAGCATTTTGGAATAACATCTACAATGAATTTTAAAAACTATTTAAGTTTTCGTTTAAGAAAAAACCTGAAACCTTTCTCCTGGGAATAATGTCACCAGAAATCAAAAAAGAAAATAGACCACTTTTTATGTATACAACAGTAGCAGCCAGGATCTTAATCGCAAAACAACTGGAAAAGTGGCAAAACACCTACGATAAATGAGTGGCAGGTCCAAATGATAGAATATCTACAGACGGCTATGATGACAGGGAGAATTAAAGGGTATCCAAAACAGAAAGAATGGAAAATCTTTAAAGAGTATTTGGAAAAGTATTATAATAACAAACATCTCCTGGCAGAAATAGAATGATCCTTGTAAAACAACAAATATGTTTCTTGAGATCTGATGAAAACAAAGAAATACAGTAATTTGGAACTGTGTGTGAAAGAACTGTAGAAATAATAATACAATGAGTCTAATCGGAAGTCAAATATGTTTGTTTTGCTTTGTTTTCTTCCTCCTCTTTTCTTTTTTACCCTTCCCTTCACACACACCCCTTTTTCTTATTTTTCTTTCTTTCTTTTTGTGTTTCCTTTCTTGGTATTTCTCTCTTTGATATGTTAAGAAAAAGATAGAGAGACAAAAGTGTATTGTGGAAACCTCAGTAGGTTAAAAGTAATTTCTTTATTAGGTAAAGGTAAAGGGACCCCTGACTATTAGGTCCAGTCGTGGCCGACTCTGGGGTTGTGGCGCTCATCTCGCTTTACTGGCCGAGGGAGCCGGCGTTCAGCTTCCAGGTCATGTGGCCAGCAGGACTAAGCCGCTTCTGGCGAACCAGAGCAGCGCACGCAAACGCCGTTTACCTTCCCGCCGGAGCGGTACCTATTTATCTACTTGCACTTTGATGTGCTTTCAATTTTATTAATTGTATTTATTTATTCAGACCCTCCCAATTTGTGATATATTTGTGATGTATGCATGATGTAATTCTAGGGGTGTTGTGGATATCTTTGTAAAACTAATAAAAGTGGGAGCCATCCTTTGTTCTGGGCTTCTTCCTGCTTATCCCATGTGGTGGGTGGAAGTCCTGTTGCAAGAGTCCTTAAAAAATAAAAGACCAGGCCTGCTGGCTGCTGTTTCGCTCCTATATTCCTGGCTGACGCCTTTGCTTGGCAATCCAAGTGAGCCCAAGGATTTTCCCATAACAGGTTTGAGAAACACACGTCTTATTTCTAAATATTTCTAAATTTGTCTGGCAGGGCAAGAAGCCTAGAATAAAATTTAAAATATTAACAGATGCAAAGGAAAGAGGTGGATTTGCCCTGCCAGACCTTAAACTTTATTATGAATCAGCAGCTTTTTGCTGGCTGAAAGAATGGCTGCTTCTTGAAAACACTGACATTTTGGATCTAGAAGGTTTTAACAATGTATTTGGATGGCATGCATATTTATGGTATGATAAGGTTAAAGCGCATAAAGCATTTAAAAATCACATTGTCAGGAAAGCACTCTTTAATGTCTGGATAAGATACAAGGATTTATTGGAAAACAAAACACCAAAGTGGCTGTCACCGATGGAAGCAAAAGCTCTGAAAAAGCTCAATATGGAGGCCAAATGGCCGAAATATTGGGAAATTTTGGAACAAGATGGAGATAGACTGAAATTGCAGAGCTTTGAGAAATTAAAAAACAAAGTGCGAGATTGGCTTCATTATTTTCAGACAATGGAGGCATATAAATTGGACAAAAAAATTGGCTTCCAGGTGGAAAAGTCAAAATTAGAAACAGAACTGTTAGAACCTAAAACTAAGATCTTGTCAAAAATGTATAACTTGCTGTTGAAATGGAATACTCAGGATGAAACGGTGAAATCTGCTATGATTAAATGGGCACAGGATGTTGGACATAATATTATGTTTGCGGACTGGGAACAGTTGTGGACCACAGGTATGAAGTTTACGGCATGCAATGCCTTAAGAGAGAATATTATGAAAATGATATACAGGTGGTACATGACCCCAGTCAAGCTTGCAAAAATTTAACATTTGCCCGATAATAAATGTTGGAAATGTAAAGAAACTGAAGGTACATTCTTTCACCTTTGGTGGGCGTGCCCAAGGATTAAGGCTTTCTGGGAAAAGATATATAATGAACTGGAAAAGGTATTTAAATATACCTTCACGAAGAAACCAGAGGCCTTTCTTCTAGGCATAGTCAGCCAATTGGTGCCAAAGAAGGACAGAACTTTTTTTATGTATGCTACAACAGCAGCAAGAATACTCATTGCAAAGTATTGGAAGACACAAGATCTACCCACTGTGGAAGAATGGCAAATGAAGCTGATGGACTATATGGAACTGGCAGAAATGACCGTCAGAATCCGAGACCAGGCAAAAGAGTCGGTGGAAGAAGATTGGAAGAAGTTTAAAGATTACTTACAGAAATACTGCAAAATCAATGAATGTTAGAAGGATGTTGGATAGTAAATAAGGAGATTCCAGCTGTAATGTATTAAGGGAATATGAGAAAAAAGGGTCTTAAATTGGCAAAAATTTAATGTTATAATTTATCATGATTAAGATTAGATTAAAAGGAGGAAAGAATTGCTGAACCTACAGATTGAAGTGGAATACAAAAAGGGGAGGTATGAGGAGGTCCGGGAAAGAAGGTAAGGGAAAATAAGTAAATTGAAAATATGTGTGTTTTTAATTATTTTTATGTTTCTTTTTGTTTTTTGTATTTTTGTCATTTTGCCTTGTTGTTATGTTATGTTGTTATTTCTCTCTTTTTTTCTTTTTTCTTTATTATTGTAATATTTTTTAAAAAACTTTGATAAATATCTTATAAAAAAAAAAAAGAGAAACACACGTCTTATATCTGCACTCAGGGAAATAGGTGCCATTAACTGTTCATGGAAACAAAAGCACAGAATCATAAGAAATGCAGAGTAAAGCCACAAGCTACGAAGAGAGGTGGTTGCGCACCCAAATGCAGTTCAGGTACTTTTGCAACTTCCAACGATTACAGGTGTGGGTTTGAAAAACCCACTTTGGCGTTGCTGGCTCCCCGTTCCTCCAGCCATGGAAGCCTCTCCCTTTTCCGACCCAAACAGACAACAGAGAAGGGAGCGAAAGCACAAAATTGAAATCTCAGAAAGGGTTTTTTTAGAAAGGGTGGGGTGCCCTCCAGTGGCCCTTCTGAGATTGCCAGGCAACTTCTATTTGATACCACTGGAGGTTAACTCAAGACCAGGGGTCAGCAAATGTTTTCAGCAAGGGGCCGGTCGACTGTCCCTCAGACCTTAGGGGGGGGGCGGACTACATTTTTTTTAGGGGGGGAATGAACAAATTCCTATGCTCCACAAATAACCCAGAGATGCATTTTAAATAAAAGCACACATTCTACTCATGAAAAAAAACACTGATTCCCGGACCGTCTGCAGGCCAGATTTAGAAGGCGATCGGGCCGGATCCGGTCCCCGGGCCTTTAAGTTTGCCTACCCATGCTCAAGACCTTTGAAGGAAACATGCTTGTTTATTGTATATACAGTAGTACCTTGGTTCTCAAACTTAATCTGTTCTGGAAGTCCGTTCCCAAACCAAAGCATTCCAAAACCAAGGTGCACTTTCCCATAGAAAGTTACAGGTAGGTAGCAGTGTTGGTCTGCTGTAGTCAGACCAACACAGAAGGATTTTTTATTTTGTTTCCCATAGAAAGTAATGCAAAACGGATTAATCTGTTCCAGACTTTTAAAAACAACCCCTAAAACAGCAATTTAACATGAATTTTACCACTGGTCCATAACATGAAAGCAATAATCAATGTACAGTGCTATAAAATAATTAAGACAGTATTGTAAATGATAAATATTTGTAAAGAAAATATGGAGTTGTTTGTACAATATTATTATTATTGATCTGCTGTAATAAAGCATCGCTCCCTTACTCCCGAGTCAGAGGGGCGAGCCAGGAGGCAAGAAAGGCCAGTATCGCAAGCTCACTTAGCAGCAATGATTCAGGCCCAATCCTGGTGACCTGCGCTCTTCCTCTCTGCCCTGATCCTAACCGGCTTGGGAGTCTCTTGCAAGAGCTGGGCGCATGGAACATGGAACCCTGGGGGTCTCTGTTGCACGGCAACCAGATAAGTCGGCAAAGCAAAGCTGGAGGCCATGTTATCACCCCGGCCTCTGCCCCCCTTCTTCTGTGCCCTTTGGACCATGTGGGGCAGGTGGCAGTAGCCATGGCGGAGAGAGCCCGGAAAACACATGGTCAGTAGTAAAGCATGGGAAGGGTTGGAGGGGGTGCGAGGGGGGGGTAGCCTGGCTATAGGGGGCTTCCCCAGTGGGAAGACATCAGCCTGGGGAGAACAGAGGTAGCTAGGCACAGGCTTTGTTGTTGTTGTTTAGTCGTGTCCGACACTGGTTTCAAATCCGGGTACTTTAAGATCTTCCCAATGCATAGAGGATGCAATTCAGAGATTCTCCTGAGTCCTTTGAATTTCAGATTTCTGGAAAGTTAGAAAGCCCCAACATTCCTTAGATTGTTGTTGTTGTTTAGTCATCTAGTTGTGTCCGACTCTTTGTGACCCCCTGGACCAGAGCACGCCAGGCACTCCTGTCTTCCACTGCCTCCCGCAGTTTGGTCAAACTCATGCTGGTAGCTTCGAGAACACTGTCCCACCATCTTGTCCTCTGTCATCCCCTTCTCTTTGTGCCCTCCATCTTTCCCAACATCAGGGTCCTTTCCAGGGAGTCTTCTCTTCTCATGAGGTGGCCAAAGTATTGGAGCCTCAGCTTCACGATCTGTCCTTCCAGTGAGCTGATTTCCTTCAGAATGGAGAGGTTTGATCTTCTTGCAGTCCATGGGACTCTCAAGGGTCTCCTCCAGCACCAGAATTCAAAAGCATCAATTCTCTGGCAATCAGCCTTCTTTATGGTTCAGGCCTGTTTGGCAATCGCCAGTCTTTGGGGTCCAGTTTGGGGCAGTGGTTAGAGTGCTGGGATAGAATCTGGGCGACCAAAGTTCAAATCCCAACTTCAGCCATGAAACTCACCTGGGGGGCCTTGGCCGTCAGAGTCTCTCAGCCTCCCAGATGCTTAGAAAGCTGAAGTGAGTTTTAATCCATTTTCAGTCTGTATGCACCAACCCAGACCCTGTGAACATCATCTGAGTGGGGGGGGGGGGCTCGTAAAAGGGCTAGACAAACTCAGGGGGAGAGAGATCAGGTGTGTCTGAGTTATTGCAGTAGCCCAGTGGAACCTGCTTCTGCAGAGTCTACCAGAGTGGTAGTCAGGTGGGTGGGGTAATAATAATAATAATACAGTGGTACCTCGGGTTACATACGCTTCAGGTTACATGCACTTCAGGTTACAGACTCTGCTAACCCAGAAATAGTACCTTGGGTTAAGAACTTTGCTTCAGGATGAGAACAGAAATTGTGCAGTGCCGGCACAGCAGCAGCAGGAGACCCCATTAGCTAAAGTGGTGCTTCAGGTTAAGACTAGTTTCAGGTTAAGAACGGACCTCCGGAACGAATTAAGTACTTAACCAGAGGTACCACTGTAATAAATTTTATTTATACCCTGCCCTCCCCAGCCTAGACCGGGCTCAGGGCGGCTAACACCAGGTATAAAAACAATTGATTGAAATATAGCTTTAAAAACAAGATTAAAACACAACGTTAAAATGCAGCCTCCTTTCAGCAGAAACTCAAATCAAAAACTTTTGGGGGTATGAAAACGTCAAGTCTTCACCAAGGCCAACTATCCAGACTGGTCCTACGTGGCCCATAAAAAAGCCAGGAAAGTCCCCAAATAGGAGTTCCATCACAGAAAACAGGAGTGCCTGGCGTGCTCTGGTTTTCTGGAGAAACAACAACATCAGTTATTGTTATTAATATTATTGTTGAATAGGACATCACTATTTTCATTGCAGCATGGGCATAGCCAAGGGAGGGGCAGGGAGGCAGCTGCCCCCCTTAAACCCTCAAAAAGTATTGAAAAGCATTAACAATACTCTTATTAACTGAGGGTCTGCCCCCCCAGCAGAAGCCTGTCCCCCTAACAAAAGCCTGCCCCCCCACAATGTCCTCTTTTGGGGGGGATTTTTACCTGTGATCTCCCAACAAAAAGATCAACAACTTTTTGTACCACCACCCCCCAACAAAAATCCTGGCTGTGCCCATGAGCCGGAGAAGTGTTGGAGGATATGAACTTGAATGCTAACTCAACAATGGGATCCTGCATTCGATTTCACGCCTTGCTGCTGCATCGAGAACCCCAGGGATTAGGACTCGGGCATCCCACAGACTGACCACCCCAAACTCACAACGATATTTGTGAGTGTCTGTAGGTGGTTGGAGGATGGATGGCGACTAACAGATTGAGGTTGAATCCTGACAAGACAGAAGTACTGTTCTTGGGGGACAAGGGGCGGATGGGTATGGGGGACTCCCTGGTGCTGAATGGGGTAACTTTGCCCCTGAAGGACCAGGTGCGCAGCCTGGGAGTCATTCTGGACTCACAGCTCTCCATGGAGGCGCAGGTCAATTCTGTGTCCAGGGCAGCTGTTTACCAGCTCCATCTGGCACACAGGCTGAGACCCTCCCTGCCCGCGGACTGTCTTGCCAGAGTGGTGCATGCTCTAGTTATCTCCCCCTTGGACTACTGCAATGCACTCTACGTGGGGCTACCTTTGAAGGTGACCCGGAAACTGCAATTAATCCAGAATGCGGCAGCTAGACTGGTGACTGGGAGCGGCCGCCAAAACCACACATGGAAAGACCTACACTGGCTCCCAGTACGTTTCTGAGCACAATTCAAAGTGTTGGTGCTGACCTTTAAAGTCCTAAACAGCCTTGGTCCAGTATACCTGAAGGAGCATCTCCACCCCCATCGTTCTACCAGGACACTGAGGTCCAGTGCCGAGGGCCTTCTGGTGGTTCCCTCACTGCAAGAAGCCAAGCTACAGGGAACCAGGCAGAGGGCCTTCTCGGTAGTGGCACCCGCCCTGTGGAACACCTTCCCACTAGATGTCAAAGAGAAAAATAACTACCAGACGTTTAGAAGACATCTGAAGGCAGCCCTGTTTAGGGAAGTTTTTAATGTTTGATGTATTACAGTATTTTAATATTTTGTTGGAAGATGCCCAGAGTGGCTGGGGAAGCCCAGCCAGATGGGCAAGGTATAAATAATAAATTATTATAATATTATAATTACTTTCAGGGCAGAATGTTTGCATTCCTCCTCCTCCTCCCCCTCCTCCCCACTTGCTTTTTCTCTCCCCCCTATTTTTTTAAAAATGCTTTATTAACTGAGAAGTGCATAACAGAAATACTCAGTAAATGTAAACAGAAAACATGAAAAAATGGTGACAAATAACCTACAACCATTTGTTCCTCCATTATTTGCCTTTTATCTTATTTGCAATTAATGCCAGTGTGACCCTTTTATGTTTCCAAATTATATTTCTTAAATGCACATTTGACTTTAATAATAATAATAATATTTTTTTATTTATACTCCGCCTTTCCCGGTTCAGGAAACCGGGCTCAGGGCAGCTAACAACAAATTTAAAACACTTACTTGATGCTACAAAAAAAAACAGCATAAAATACGGTATAAGGCGTAAATAACAATAAAATCAAGAATCAAAAATCAATTTAGGGGGGAAATCCATCCAATAAACATTAGATGATCACCAGGGCTAGCTGGCTAAATTTGTCCTATTTGGGCCAGAGAGGAGACCTGGGGAGAGTTAGCTGTGGGTAATCTTCATAAAAAGGAGAGGGAAGGAAGGGGAATAAAAGATCAGGCTGAATTCAAATTAAAGGCCAGGTGGAATAGCTCTGTCTTACAGGCCCAACGGAAGGAGGTTAAATCCTGCAGGGCCCTGGTCTCATGGGACAGAGCATTCCACCAGGTCGGAGCCATCATTGAGAAGGCCCTGGCCCTGGTGGAGGATAATCTAACTTGCGCCTTGCTTTTTCCGGCGCAAAACCACCCCGAACCCGGAGCCCGTTTCCGTCCTTCCCGTGCGCTCTGGCGCATAAAAGCACCAGCGCGCACGCCAACTTGGCGCGCGGTTGCCTCGCTTCGCCATGGACGCGATGCTCGCCTTGTGCGCGCTTCCCCGTCGCCGTCGGAACCCCAACGCCCGGCTCCGCGTTGGCTGCCGGGCTTGTGAGTGGAGAGAGCCGGGGACTCTAACCGGGGAAAGGCTTCCTCCTCCCTCTTTTCCCTTTGCGCGCGCGCGGGGGAGGCTGCTTCCCCGGTCGCCACTTTCGCTTTCGCAGCGCGCCTAACCGGAGAGGGACCCTCCTGCGCCGGCGGCTGGTTTCGTGTGCGAGGCCCTTTCTCTTTCTCTGTCTCCTTCTCCTCCTCCTCCTAATCCTTCCTCCTTCCTTCTCTCCTTCCTTCCCCACGTGCAGGCGGCGGCGGCGGCGGCCGGGACGGCGCCATGGCCGGGCTGGAGCTCCTCTACCACTCGGTCTCCCCGGACATCTCCAGCCCGCAGGACGCCTTGATCTGCTACCTGCACTGGAAGCTCATCACGCAAGGCTTCCGCTGCCTCGGCGCCGGCGACCAGGTGAGAGGAGGAGGGACGGAGGGTTGCCAACGCTTCTCCCCCCTCTCGGCGCCTCTGCCCAGGTGCGTCGCGGCGAAGGGGGCGTGAGATCGTCTGGGCAGCTGCGTAGCGGCAGCAGGCTGCGGGAAGGGCAGGGGATAAGGCTGGCGCTGCTTACCAGGCCGGAAAAGGAGGGGGGTTGCCAACTCTTGCCCCCTCTCTCGGCGCCTCTGTCCAGCTGCGTAATCGTGCCAGGGGGTGTGGTCTCCACTGGGTAGCTGCGTAGTGTTGGCCTCCCCTTTGGCAGGCTGTGAAAAGGGCGAAGGAGTAGGCAAAGTTTTTCAGCTGTGGGCCGGGCCACTGTCCCTCAGACCTTGTGGGGGGCCGGACTATATTTAGGGGAGGGGGGAATGAACAAATTCCTATGTCCCACAAATAACCCAGAGATGCAGCCCTGTTCAGGGAAGGTTTTAATGTGTGACATTTTAATGTATTTTTAATCTTCGTTGGAAGCCGCCCAGAGTGGCTGGGGAAACCCAGCCAGATGGGCAGGGTGCAAATAATAAATTATTATTGTTATATTATTATTTTAAATAAAAGCACACATTCGACTCATGTAAAAACACGCCGATTCCCGGACCATCCGCAGGCCAGATTTAGAAGGCAATTAGACTGGATCCAGCACCCGGGCCTTAGGTTGCCTACCCATGGAGTAGGTTGTCTCCTCTTTACTTCCTGGGGCAAAAAAGGAGAGGGGTTGCCAACTCTTTCTTCATCTCTGGATGCCTCTGGCCAGCTGCATCACCGGGCCTCCCAGGCCAGTGAGAAGCAGTGGGCAAAAGCCTAGCAGGATGTGGTATTTGTATAATAATAATAATAATAATAATATTTATTATTTATACCCCACCCATCTGGCTGGGCTGCCCCAGCCACTCTGGGCGGCTTCCAACAAATTATTAAAATACAGTAGTCCATCAAACATTAAAAGCTTCCCTAAAGAGGGCTGCCTTCGGATGTCTTCTAAAAGTCTGGTAGTTGTTGTTCTCTTTGACATCTGGTGGGAGGGAGTTCCACAGGGCAGGCGCCACTACCGAGAAGGCCCTCTGCCTGGTTCCCTGTAACCTCACTTATCACAGGGAGGGAACCACCAGAAGGTCCTCAGCACTGGACCTCAGTGTCCGGGTAGAATGATGGGGGTGGAGACGCTCCTTCATATATACTGGGCCGAGGCCGTTTAGGGCTTTCAAGGTCAGCACCAACACTTTGAATTGTGCTCGGAAATGTACTGGGAGCCCATGTAGGTCTTTCAAGACCGGTGTTGTGTGGTTTTGGCGTCCGCTCCCAGTCACCAGTCTAGCTGCCGCATTAGTTGTAGTTTCCGGGTCACCTTCAAAGATAGCCCCACATAGAGCGCATTGCAGTAGTCCAAGCGGGAGATACCCAGAGCATGCACCACTCTGGAGAGACACTCTGCGGGCAGGGAGGGTCTCATCCTGCGTACCAGATGGAGCTGGCAGACAGCTGCCCTGGACACAGAATCTTACATGTTGTGCCTTTCCCCATAACTTACCTTCCTCCCCCACCCTCCAAAAGCCCCAGGTGGGAGGTGGTGGGCTCTCCTTCCTTGGAGCTTTTTAAGCAGAGGTTAGGTGGCCATCTGTCATGCATGATTTACCTGAGATTCTGCATTGCAAAGGGTTGGACTGGATGACCCCCTGGATCCCTTCAACTCTATGATTCTGTTTTAATTTTGGCTTCCTTTTCCCGTTCTATTATATATCTCTCTCTCTTTTAAGGGTGTGGCAACCAGAACTGTAGGCAGGTGCTTGCTTTGGTTTTAATTTTTATTGACCTCTGTATCGTAAAAACTACCTAGAGAACTTGGCTGGATATATAGTTTGCAAATGTCATTCTTCCTGCACATGTTGTTGTTGTTATTTACCTGCCCTTCCCCCCAGGTATAAATAAAAATTATTATTATTATTATTATTATTATTATTATTATTATTAGGTCCTATGGCACATTGCAGCATTAAAATGTCAGAATTGCTTGTGTGTATTTTTTTGTATGACCTACCTTATTTTTATGATTGCATGCTGTTTTTATACTGTGCTTTAATATTGTAACCTGCCCTGGGACCTTAGGGGGAAGGGCAAGTTGTTGTTGGGCAAGTTGTTGTTGTTGTTGTTGTTGTTGTTACTACAATGATAAGGAGCCAATCCAGCTTCCCTGGGAAGGGAGTTCGAGTCTGGAAGCTGCAACCACTGAGAAGGTCCTTTCTAGGCCACATTTTTTTAATGTACATTTTTATTGGTTTTTTTAACATATCATTTCCAACAATCATTTACCATAACTTCTTACCTTATACAATAATTTAGACTTCCGCCAACAACTTCTGAAGATTTTCCATTCTTTATCGCTCGTTCTGCATTTCTTAATTTCTCTATTACTTTTAATTGTCCTTAACTAATAATTCTCTTCATAGTCTTTCTTGCAATGTTTCAAATAGTCCTCCTTACAGAACTTCTTGCAATCGTACTAGCGTAATCTGTTTATTACAATTGCTTTTCGAATAGTTCCAGGCCACGTTTAAGGACTAGTATCAGACTCAAGAAAGTGCTTGTACTCTTCCTCCTCCCTCCCCAACCCATTTTCCTTTCATGCCGTTTCTTTAACCTGTGAATCCGCTGGTAAGGAATGGAGGTTTTTAAAAAGTCTAAGCTCCCCTGGGTGCCTTTTCAGCTGAAGAGGAAGGTAAAAATGCTTTAAATAGCTAGAATAGTGCCCAAAGTCCACCCAAGTCCACCTTCCACCAGAGGTCAAAGAGATGCAGTCCAGTGAATTTTCAAAAGTTTCACCTGTCTCTTCCGGGGTGTCATTGCACAGCCAGGCGCCAACGAGAGGAAGTCTGAGATGCTGCCTGCCGGGTGGAACGCAGACAGCGACCTGTTCACCCTCCGCTACAGGATGAAGGACGACTCCCGCGACCTCCTGCTGAAGGGGATCATGATGGACGGCAGCATCATCCTCAATGCCATGGTGAGGCGGCTCTGCAGGCGGCTGATAGATAATAATAATAATTTATTATTTATACCCCACCCAACTGGCTGGGTTTCCCCAGCCACCCTGAGCGGCTTCCAACAGAACACTAAAATACAATAACCAATTAAACATTAAAAGCTTCCCTAAACAAGGCTGCCTTCAGATGTCTTCTAAAAGTTTGGTAGTTATTTTTCTCTTTGACATCTGGTGAGAGGGCGTTCCACAGGGCAGGTGCCACTACCGAGAAGGCCCTCTGCCTGGTTCCCTGTAACTTGGCTTTTCGCAGCAATGGAACTGCCAGAAGGCCCTCGGAGCTGAACCTCAGTGTCCGGGCAGAACGATGGGGGTGGAGATGCTCCTTCAGGTATACTGGACCGAGGCCATTTAGGGCTTTAAAGATCAGCACCAACACTTTGAATTGTGCTCAGAAACGTACTGGGAGCCAATGTAGGTCTGTCAGGACCAGTGTTATGTGGTCTCGGCGGCCGCTCCCAGTCACCAGTCTGGCTGCCGCATTCTGGATTAATTGCAGTTTCCGGGTCACCTTCAAAGGTAGCCCCACATAGAGCGCATTGCAGTAGTCCAAGCGGGAGATAACCAGAGCATGCACCACTCTGGCGAGACAGTCCGCGGGCAGGTAGGGTCTTAGCCTGCGTACCAGGTGGTGCTGATAAACAGCTGCCCTGGACATGGGAAGCTGCCTTATGTAGTCTGCTGGGCCCATCTGGCCCAGTATTGTTTCCACTGGCTGGCAGCAGCTGTCTAGGATTTCAAGCCCTACCTAGAGTTGGTGCCCTTGGGTCCTTCTGCACGCAAGGAAGATGCTCTGCTCATGACCTGCGGCCCTTTTCCGGCAGCAGAAAGGTCTTTGCTAGAGCAGGAAACTCTTCATCTCAAGGTCAAGGGTTCGAGCCCCACTTTGGGCTGAAAATATTCCTGCACTGCAGGGAGTTAGACTTTCCTGTTTGGCTCAATTGTACTTATTTAATTTGAGCACTGGAATCCGTTTTTTCACTGCCTGGGATCAAACCTGCCGTATGAGGATAATTGGAGAAGAGTGCCTCTGACCATGCGCAGAGCGAGATTCCTTCCCAGCTCCTTTAATCCCACACAAGGCGGTACAACTTTCAGGAGGGAGATCTTCCTTGCTGCCCCCCCACACACACTCAGTAGGGCCTGGGCTCATATTCTTCCCGCTTTTCCACCTCTGTCCTTCCCAAACTCAGCTCTGTCTCTTTTCCGTTTTCCCTCCAGGATCCCAAATTACAAAAAGTGACAGCTTTGACCTTGAAAGTGTCCGACTTCGTCAACCCGGAACACCTGGCTGATTTTGACAAGTAATTTCATCATCAAACCTTTTATTGGCATCACATATAAATATCTGAAGGGATGCGGGTGGCGCTGTGGGTTAAACCACAGAGCCTAGGACTTGCTGATCAGAAGGTCGGCGGTTCGATTCCCTGCGACGGGGTGAGCTCCCGTTGCTTGGTCCCTGCTCCTGCCAACCTAGCAGTTTGAAAGCACGTCAAGTGCAAGTAGATAAATAGGTATCGCTCCGGCAGGAAGGTAAACAGCGTTTCCGTGCGCTGCTCTGGTTCGCCAGAAGTGCCTTAGTCATGCTGGCCACATGACCCGGAAGCTGTACGCTGGCTCCCTCGGCCAATAAAGCGAGATGAATGCCGCAACCCCAGAGTCTGCCACAACTGGATCTAATGGTCAGGGGTCCCTTTACCTTTACCTTTACCTTACAAACATCCAAAACAAATCAATACAGAATTACCACTTCCCCAGTGGCACAGAACATTTGCTAAAACAAAGGAGGCAGAGCAGTCTATCGTCACATCTCTTGGTCTCCAGGGAGATCAGACGTCTGCAGTGTATTTTGATGACAAAAAACCAAATAGAGATATTTAGCCACTAACTTGGTGAGCTCCTGATCATTCCCCAGTAATAGAAAATGTATGACCTCCAACTCTGGTTTCCAGTTGAGGATGCAGAGTTGATCTAGAAATTGCTGATGGAGATCAGCATATAGTTTACGATTAAGAACCATATGTGTGAGGGTTTCCACCAGGTGGTCTTCACATGGGCAAGTTCTTTCTCCTTCCTGAGAACCTTCCCCAAAGGAGGTTGGATGGATTTGAATTAAACCTGGCCAGCGAAAATGCCCTTCTTTCTTGAGGGTTAAGCAGAAACTCAAGGTAATTGTGGTTAGTTTCATGTGCCTAAGAAAGTTTAAAATAAAGAGGGGAACATGTTTTCTCTGCCGCTGCTGTTCGTTCTTGGCGTTCAATATCCCACAACCTAGTTTTTATTATAGCCTTGGCAGATGGTAGGGACATCGATCGCAAAAGTTCCACTGACAGCCCGAGTTGCTGTACCTTCTTGTTAAACTGTTGTAGCCCTGGGGAAAGAGAGGGGTCTAACAAAACTTCGCTTATCTGATGTAAGGCAGATGTTTAACCAGCATAGAAGAAATCTTGCCCAGGCGACAGTCTCTACCTTGTGTTGACCTCCCTCTAGTAATTGCAGCTCTTTGTAAAGGTTGTGGGCGCATTCGGAAGAAGAGCGATGTCTGTTTGCAAAGGGGCCCTTGGGTCGGGGGAGACATATGTGGCCTTTCCACAGCTGTGGGAACATAAGCCGAGAACCCCAGCCAGATCAGACATGCATGGGGAAAACTAATCACCTTATGTCCAATAGTGGGAAAGCCAAACACATATAGTGCGTACATCATTTTATTTGCATATTGTCTTTCCATAGTTCAAAACCATGCTCAAAGGCAGCTTGCAACAGGGAAAAGTACACCATTGCAAACAAAACAAAAGGAGTCATAAACAAGAAATAATAATAATAATAATAATTTTATTTATATCCCGCCCTCCCCAGCCGAAGCCGGGCTCAGAGCGGCTAACAACAATAAAAGTAACACAGTTTACATAAAATCACAATCAATTAATTGAAATGCATTCTAAAATCAATTCATTCTAAAATCAATTCAAAATCAAATTAATGGCAACCATTGGGCAAGAGTTCTGATAACACGGAGTCATAGACTCATAAGAGTTGGAAGGAACCTGAGGGTCATCTAGCCCAACCCCCTGCCGTGCAGGAATCTCAGTTTAAGCAGGAATCTCAACATCAAAAAGTACACGGCCAAATTAGACATTTTCCCACTGATGGATTTCTGAATTATATCCGACCTTTTCTCCAAAGAGCTCAAGGCGGAATGTACTGTTCTCCCTGCTCCTCATTCCATCTCCCTAACAACCCTGTGAGGTAGGCCAGACTGAGAAGAGCAACTGGCCAAGCTGTTTCAGGAGACATTGAGTGACTGAGCCTGAAACCTCTTGTGGGCTTGTTCTCTGCCAACAGTTAGATATCTTAGATAGCCCCTTTTTAAACAAACACAATGGGGTCCAGTATATTCTAAATATTATTTTTTGTTGTAGAATAATAATAATAATACCAGGAAAGGGCCTAGAACAGGCTTCCTCAACCTCGGCCCTCCAGATGTTTTTGGCCTACAACTCACATGATCCCTAGCTAGCAGGACCAGTGGTCAGGGATGATGGGAATTGTAGTCTCAAAACATCTGGAGGGCTGAGGTTGAGGAAGCCTGCTCTAGAACTAAATAGATAAATAAATATTTCTACCCCGCCCATCTGGCTGGGTTTCGCCAGCCACTCTGGGCGGCTTCCAACAAAAGATTAAAAATACAGTAGTACCTCAGGTTACATACGCTTCAGGTTACAGATGCTTCAGGTTACAGACTCCGCTAACCCAGAAATAGTGCTTCAGGTTAAGAACTTTGCTTCAGGATAAGAACAGAAATCGTGCTCCAGCGGCAGCAAGAGGCCCCATTAGCTAAAGTGGTGCTTCAGGTTAAGAACAGTTTCAGGTTAAGAATGGACCTCCGGAACGAATTAAGTTCTTAACCCGAGGTACCACTGCATTAAACCATCAGACATTGAAAACTTCCCTAAACAGTGCAGATGTCTTCTAAAAGCCAGATAGTTGTTTATTTCCTTGACATCTGATGGGAGGGCGTTCCACAGGGCGGCCGCCACTACCGAGAAGGCCCTCTGCCTGGTTCCCTGTAATCTCACTTCTTGCAGGGAGGGAACCACCAGAAGGCCTTCGGAGCTGGACCTCAGTGTTCGGACCGAATGATGGGGGTGGAGACGCTCCTTCAGGTATACAGGACCGAGGCCGTTTAGGGCTTTAAAGGTCAGCACCAACACTTAGAATTGTGCTCACAAGCGTACTAGTACAGTGGTACCTCGGGTTACATACACTTCAGGTTACAGACTCCACTAACCCAGAAATAGTATCTCGGGTTAAGAACTTTGCTTCAGGATGAGAACAGAAGTCATACGGCAGCAGCAGGAGGCCCCATTAGCTAAAGTTGTGCTTCAGGTTAAGAACAGTTTCAGGTTAAGAACGGACTTCCGGAACGAATTAAGTACTTAACCCGAGGTACCACTCTATGAGCCTCAATGTAAGGTCCAGAGACACCCTTGTTACAGCAGTTAAAACAGTTTCCCACTGTGTGGTCAAAATGGAGATCTCTAATTCTGCCTTCTCTCCCGCCTCAGAGTGTACCAGAACACAGAGGAGCTGCAAGCACAGGTCACGGCTCACATCGTCTCTCCCTTCGAGGCGGCCAAAGAGAGGAGCGTGGCCAAGGAGGAGCCCCGGCGTGAGCGGAACCCGTCTCCTCCCAACCCTCCTGACCATGACCCGCTGTGGATCCCGCCTCGCCATCCCCACGGCAGCCGGCAGCCCAACTGGTAAAGCCCCTTGTAATGCGGCAGAGAGTGAGGAGGGACTGGCTTTGGTCCAGAGGTTGCCCCAGGGATGCTCCTAGCATAGCTGTCAACGTTTCCCCTTTTTAAAGGGGAATTCCCTTATTCCGAATAGGATTCCTCGCAAGAAAAGGGAAAAGTTGGCAGCTGTGGCTCCTATGTTCACATCTGCAAGGCTGGATCCTAGCACTGAGCTGAGCGTTGCTTAGATTTCCTTGTCTTCTCTCTTTATTTTTAATTTGCATTTTATTTATTTGTTAACATTCTTATATTACATCGGTAAACGTTGTCATATTATATTACAGAACTTACTATAATATAATTTCCAACGTGTATACATAAATTATATACAAATTTTATATATCTAGAAAGAAAATGAAACAACAAAAAAAGAAAGAACAAAGAGAAAAAAACAAATTCCCCCCCTAAAATAATCATGTACATACCAGGACACTAGACTTCCTGTTTTTCCCGTTGTATATTCCTTTTTTAACAAATGAACGTACTCTTATTATGTTATATTTCTTTACATATTATCTCATACATTCCTATATAAAAATGTGCTCCTGGTCTTATTTCTCAACTCAGTCTCACTCCAACGTCAATCAAATGCTGGCATAGATAGCGAACCTTTACAGTGGTACCTCGGGTTACAGGCGCTTCAGGTTACAGACTCTGCTAACCCAGAAATAGTGCTTCAGGTTAAGAACTTTGCTTCAGGATGAGAACAGAAATCGTGCTCCGGCGGCGTGGTGGCAGCGGGAGGCCCCATTAGCTAAAGTGGTGCTTCAGGTTAAGAACAGTTTCAGGTTAAGAACGGACCTCCGGAACGAATTAAGTACTTAATCCGAGGTACCACTGTACTGTATTTTTGAACGTATGTTTTATATCTATCCCACTTTTCCATAAATTTTTGTTTTGAATTGCCTCTCGGTATTGGTTAACTGCACCATTTCAGCAAATTCTTGTAGCTTGTAATGCCAGTCCGTTACTGTCAGGGCTTCTTGTTCCTTCCATCCCTTTGCCACCAAAGTCCGAGCTGCGGCCGTTGCATATAAGAACACCTCCCTAAAGGCCTTCGGGATGTCCCTGCCAACAGTGCTTAACAGAAATGCCTCTGGTCTTTTAAAAAAAGTTATTCCAAACATTTCCTTGTCTTCTCTGATCTAATCCTGACAAGACAGTAGTACTGTTTTTGGGGGACAGGGGGCGGGCGGGTGTGGAGGACTCCCTGGTCCTGAATGGGGTAACTGTGTCCCTGAAGGACCAGGTGCGCAGCCTGGGAGTCATTTTGGACTCATAGCTGTCCATGGAGGCGCAGGTCAATTCTGTGTCCAGGGCAGCTGTTTATCAGCTCCATCTGGTACACAGGCTGAGACCCTACCTGCCCGCAGACTGTCTTGCCAGAGTGGTGCATGCTCTGGTTATCTCCTGCTTGGACTACTGCAATGCGCTCTACTTGGGGCTACCTTTGAAGGTGACCCGGAAACTGCAATTAATCCAGAATGCAGCAGCTAGACTGGTGAATGGGAGTGACCACCGGGACCACATAACACCGGTCCTGAGAGATCTGCACTGGCTCCCAGTACGTTTCCGAGAACAATTCAAAGTGTTGGTGCTGACCTTTAAAGCCCTAAACAGCCTCGGTCGTGTATACCTGAAGGAGCGTCTCCACCTCCATCGTTCTGCCCGGACACTGAGGTCCAGCTCCTAGGGCCTTCTGGCGGTTCCCTCATAGTGAGAAGTGAGGTTACAGGGAACCAGGCACAGGGCCTTCTCGGTGGTGGCACCCACCCTGTGGAACGCCCTCCCTTCAGATGTGAAGGAAATAAGCAGCTATCCTATCTTTAAAAGACATCTGAAGGCAGCCCTGTTTAGGGAAGTTTTTAATATTTAATGCTGTATTGTTTTTAACATTCGATTGGGAGCCGCCCAGAGTGGCTGGGGAAACTCAGCCAGATGGGCGGGGTATAAATAATAAATTATTATTATTATTATTATTATTATTATTATTATTATTAGCCGAGAGTGAAAACACCGTTTCCGTTTCAGGCCAGACCCCATGGGGCCCTTTGCTGTTGGAGGAGAAGACCTGAACCCCTTTGGGTAAGTCAGTCCCTTTTACCTGAAAGGCTGTTCTTTAAAAAATAAAAATAAAAAGTTTACAGCTCATGTTCCCCCATGGATCTTCCCCAATCTCCCCAAATTCTTCTTGCTCAGGAGCCGGAGCGGTGGGATGATCATGGATCCGCTGCGTTCAGGGTTTCCAAATCCCATTCTCGACCCGTCTTCAGGACTCCCCAACAGGCTGCCTCCAGGATCCGTGCCTCCTGGCGCCAGATTCGACCCCTTTGGACCCCCTGGGGCAAACCGGAGTGGGTAAGTAGGGGGGCAAGTTTGCAGGGAGGGACAGGGTCAGACACTGGCCTAGGATTTCAGCGTTGAAAACATTGCTGCGTTCGAGACATTTTCATGCCAGGGGCGGGAAATCGAAACAGCTGCTCCCTTTTCACTAATTGAACCAATAATTAAGTCAACCCGTACCCAGCGGAAACAATAGCATCCTGCCATCTGCAGGAGCTGCAGAGATTTAGCTAGGTTTTAAGAATGGGGCCTGCTTTTCAGGGTTGCCATAGTTCAGAGTCAGTGCATCTGCTTGGAATGCAGAATGCTGCTGGTTGGATTCCTGGCGTCTCCAGGCAGGGAAGGGAAGAGCACACACACTCTCACACTCTCTCTCTCTCTATATATATATAAAATTTGTTCTTGCATGTGAAACTGAAAATGCAAAAATAATCTCAAAAAATAATCTCTTCTCTCTCTCAATATATACACACACAGACACACACACACAGAGAGAGAGAGTTTATTTTAGCATTTTCAATTTTACATGCAATACCAATAAAATAAAATAAAACCAAACTTAATAATAATAATTTATTATTTGTACCCTGCCCATCTGGCTGGGTCTCCCCAGCCACTCTGGGCGGCTTCCAAGAAAGATGAAAAATACATTAAAATGTCACACATTAAAAACTTCCCTGAACAGGGCTGCCTTCTAAATGTCAGGTAGACATTTAGAAGTCAGGGATGTCTTCGAAATGTCAGGTAGTTGTTCTCCTTGACATCTGCTGGGAGGGCGTTCCACAGGGCGGGTGCCACCACCGAGAAGGCCCTCTGCCTGGTTCCCTGTAACTTGGCTTCTCGCAATGAGGGAACCGCCAAAAGGCCCTCGGCGCTGGACCTCAGCGTCTGGGCAGAACGATGGGGGTGGAGACGCTCCTTCAGATATAATAGAAACATAATTCCCCTTTGACTTCCCTACCCCGCTTTTGTGGATCCTTATATAACGCTTTTCTTCTGCATCTCCTCAATAACTCCTATAAATCCTTCGCCAAATCCACCATTCAAATTTTTGCTACAAGTTTTCCATCAAGCCTGCTGATGAATGTCATTGTTTGCAATCATTTTTCAAATACATTATAAACCTGGGCTGGGAAGGACTCTTGCTGGAAACCCAGCCAGGGTAGAGAACGCTGCTAAAGCTGACCTGATGGTCTGGAATCATAGAGATAGGAGTGACTATGTGGGGGATCCAGTCTTAACCCCCCGCAATGCAGGAATCGCCTCCCCCAACATGGGACTCAAACCCACAACCGTGAGATTAAGGAGTCTCATAGCTCTACTGACGGGTGCGTCTCCAAGTCTGAGTATAACGCAGCTTCCTTTGCATAACCCCCAGAATTGCATAATAAAACAAATGCAGACAAACAGGCCAAAGGCCCCCAACCCATTTTCTAGCAACTTAGACTCTAAACCAGGGGTCAGCAAACTTTTTCAACAGGGGGCCAGTCCACTGTCCCTCAGACCTTGTGGGGGCCGGGCTACATTTTGAGGGGGAATGAACGAATTCCTGTGCCCCACAAATAACCCAGAGATGCATTTTAAATAAAAGCACACATTCTACTCATGGAAAAACACACTGATTCCTGGACCGTCCGCAGGCCGGATTTAGAAATAATAATAATAATAATAATAATAATAATAATAAATTATTTTATTTATACCCCGCCCTCCCCAGCCAAGACCGGGCTCAGGGCGGCTAACACCAGGTATAAAAACAATTGACTGAAATACAACTTAAAAAACAAGATTGAAATACAACATTAAAATGCAGCCTCATTTCAGTGGAAACTCAAATAAAAAACTTTTTGGGGAATGAAAACGTCAAGTCTTCACCAAGGCCAACTATCCAGACTGGTCCTATGTGGGCCAGAAAAAAGCTAGGGAAGTCCCCAAGTAGGAGTTCCATCACAGAAGGAGAAAGGAAAGAGGGGATCAAGTTGATTTCAAGCCAAAGGCCAGGCGGAACAACTCTGTCTTACAGGCCCTGCGGAAAGAAATCGGATCCTGCAGGGCCCTGGTCTCATGAGGCCGAGCATTCCACCAGGCCGGGGCCAGTGTTGAAAAGGCCCTGGCTCTGGTTGAGGCTAGTCTGGCTTCCTTAGAGCCTAGGATCTCTAGGGTGTTGCTGTTTATGGAGCTTAAGGTCCTCCGTGGGGCATATTGGGAGAGGCGGTCCTGTAGGTACGAGGGTCCTAGGCCGTGAAGGCGATTGGGCCGGATCCGTCCCCCGGACCGTAGTTTGCCTACCCATGCTGTAGACGGAATGGGTAGCATTTTATTCTTGCTCACCCTAGAATATGGGGAGCGACGGTTGATGCTCTTTGTTCGCCTTCCAGGCCAAACCCCGACCACCTGCCACCGCCCAACTACGACGACATGTTCATGTGAGGAATGCTGAGGACCTGCTCCCCTCGGGTTGATCGGCACTCATCTCTGACGCCCCAAATGTTTGGGGCACGGGCTTCCGTCTGCAAGCAGGCCACCACCCTGTCTCCTGCTTTGATTTCCCACCACATAAACCGGAAGAGGATGGCGTGTGCATAGAAATGTGTATATATATATATATTTTCCCCCTCTCTCTTCCCCTGCTGCCCCAAACACTTTAGGTTGACTTCCCCGTTGCCCTGAAACGGCAAGCGCCTGTGAAAAAGGACGGCCGTGCTCTTAACATCTGCTGGGGGGGTTGTTTTTCGAAGGATGCGAAGGGCCAGGGAGGAATTGTCCCGTTCCAAAACCTGGGTGTGCCCAGCAACCCAGTTGGCCACTGCTGGTTTCTGACGCCAATCATAGCAGGGGCAGGTAGGGAAGAGTTGGACCAATCGAAAGCCCGCCCTCCAAAATGCCTCCACCCTCCCCAGCTTGTCACTCAAAACAGTTTCCAACTTAAAAAACCCTTTTTTCCTTGAAAGGCCATTCCCACCCCCACCCCCTATTTTCCTAGCTTCTGATGAAACCAGCTGGCTACCCGGCAAGTAAAAAAAAACAACCCAGAAAAAAGGCTTTTTCTCTTCCCAGGTGGCACACTTGAGTTGGCACAGAGCGGGCTGGTAAGAAGCTGAAATAGCAGCAGGGTGTGTGGGTGTTAGTGGCAGGCAAATTGAGTTGGCTCCTTGGTCTGGGCAGAGCCGTTTATAAACAGCGTTTTGCTGCTTGCATCCCTGTCTTGAGATGATGTGTTTTGCTTTTTAGAGGGTATCTCTTGCATGCTGGCTTGAGAACAGGCTTCCCAAACTGGAATTCCCTCCAGAAGTCTAGGACTACAATCCCCATCAGGCTCAGCTAGGCCAGGGGGAGGGTGGACAGCTGGGTCCCCAGAACTGCCTCTGAAAGCACAGCAACTGTGGTTCCCCTTCTCCAGCTGCCACACACACACACACACACACACACACACACACACACCCGTCCCCAGCAAAGTAGACCCAGATCAACCTATTTGTGTTGCATGCAAGGACGTGGACTTCCTTTGCGGGCTCTGTGCCTTTTGAACTGCAGGCTGGCAGCAGAAATTCAACAGGTGAAGTTTCCTCCTTTTATACCCATGCTAAGGAACAGCGTCCCTCTCCTCGCTCGGCTGCTGTTAAGGGAACAGATCCATTGAAAATAAAACACACAATAATATTGGATAGCCTACATGCGAAAAAAGGTCGATTGTTTATATCTGTCTCTGCCACTTGCGGACTTGGATTCTGTTCCCCTTAAGTACAAAAGGGCTTTTTATGCTGGCTGGCTGCTGTTTTGGCTTCTCTGGGGACTAGGGCTTGAAGTGGAGGCGGACATATTCTACCCTCTCCATTCAGGGTAGAGAGCTGGCCGGCCAACACTGCAGGGTTGTGTGGAAAAGGCTTGCCCCGCCCCCCTCTCTTTGGCCAGAAATGGCGTTCTCTGCCTTATCTTCCAGGCGCTGCCAAACAGCGTTTCTCGTGGAAGGGGAACCTGTGACCCTCTGGTCATCTGATTCCCATCAGCCCTGAGCATCGGCCATGCTACCTGCAAGGGCTGATGGGAGTCCGTCAGCATCCATAGAGCATCAGCCTCTCTGTCTCTGATGCGGCTGAAAGACTTAGAAGTATACTCTGCCTTAGAGCAAGTTCCCGCAATCGTTTTCCAGCACGGTGGTCACAGTGGCCTACAAGTTAGCTTTGTGTGTGTGTAAGAAAGGGGGGACAGTTTTCTTCCTCTAGTTGGCAAGCTTCTATTCTGCCCCATCCATCCCTGCAAAGAGGAGGCACTGCTGTGATTTTTCAGGTCAGCTGATATTATCAGATTGTTTTTTCCTGCAAAGCTTGCAGCCGCCACAAGATGGCTTTAAAAAAAAATATTGAAATTGCGTGATTCTCTGAGTGGTGCAGCTGCTTTGCTCTTCACCACGTCACTAGGAGGTCTTGGGAACTGCCTGCCACCAGAGATGGCAACGTTTCTGCTTGGAGCAGTTACCATACCAGGCAGGGGGATGTTTGGGTGTGGACTGGCAGCACATGACTTCTGAAAGCCATCTAAGCTCTTAAGAAGCACAAGGAGTAAACCTGGAGCGTTCGTTTCCCCTTGGGGTGTTTCAGTGGCTTTGAGACTTCCAAACTGCTGCATTTTCTACTTGCTTGAGATCAAAAAGCGGGCAATCCCTGCTCCACAGGGACATTGTCTCTACAGACAGGCTGTGATTTGATATAATAAGGACTGTGTGTGTTGTCATAGGGGTGACCTGAGTAGGTGTGTTGCAAGTTAACCCCTTTAAAGTAATAATAAAAGTTCATGCTCTTTCACGCGGTGGTTGTTGATTCTTTGGGCTACGGCACTCAAGACGACTACCATAGATCCATAGTCCAGCCCCCTTGCAATGCAGGACTCACAGCTGGGTTAGAATCATACAATCATAGAATCATAGAGTTGGAAGAGACCACAAGGGCCATCAAGTCCAACCCCCTGCCAAGCAGGAAACACCATCAGAGCACTCCTGACATATGGTTGTCAAGCCTCTGCTTAAAGACCTCCAAAGAAGGAGACTCCACCACACTCCTTGGCAGCAAATTCCACTGTCGAACAGCTCTTACTGTCAGGAAGTTCTTCCTAATGTTTAGGTGGAATCTTCTTTCTTGTAGTTTGGATCCATTGCTCCATGTCCGCTTCTCTGGAGCAGGGTTGTGTGGAGGTGCGCTCTCTGTGTCACCAGGACTTAAATGCTGGCGAGAAGCACAATGTCAAAAGTAGAGTGCATGTCCTTGTTGGAGAGAATAGGCTTCTAAACCCAAAGCCCCATGAGGAAGGTATATATAATAATAATAATAATAATAATAATAATTAATAATAATAATAATTAATAATAATAAATAATTTATTATTTATACGCCGCCCATCTGGCTGGGCCTCCCCAGCCACTCTGAGCGGCTTCCATAGAAACCAAAAATACAGTAAAATATCACACGTTAAAAACTTCCCTGAACAGGGCTGCCTTAAGATGTCTTCTGAATGTCAGGTAGTTGTTTATCGCTTTGACATCTGCTGGAAGGGTGTTCCACAGGGCGGGCGCCACTACCGAGAAGGCCCTCTGCCTGGTTCCCTGTAGCTTTGCTTCTCGCAATGAGGGAACCGCCAGAAGGCCCTCGGCGCTAGAGCTCGGCGTCCGGTATTGGGTTAAAGAAAGAAAAAAAATGCAAATAGCTGAATCAAAAGCGAAGGGCAATGGATAATAAATCATTAGGCCAGCCCCCACCATAAAGTAAAGGTAAAGGGACCCCTGACCATTAGGTCCAGTCGTGACCGACTCTGGGGTTGCGGTGCTCATCTCCCTTTACTGGCCGAGGGAGCCGGCGTACAGCTTCCGGGTCATGTGGCCAGCATGACTAAGCCGCTTGTGGCGAACCAGAGCAGCGCACGGAAATGCCGTTTACCTTCCCGCCGGAGCGGTACCTGTTTATCTACTTGCACTTTGACGTGCTTTCGAACTGCTAGGTTGGCAGGAGCAGGGACCAAGCAACGGGAGCTCACCCCGTCGCGGGGATTCGAACCACCAACCTTCTGACCGGCAAGTCCTAGGCTCTGTGGTTTAACCCACAGCGCCACCCGCGTCCCTTCGCCCCCACCATACTGGGCTACAACTCCCAGCCAGCACGACCAATACCCAAGGATGATGGGATATGTAGTCAGCCTTTGTCGGGGGCACACATTCCCCGTTCCCAGTGTAAAAGCAGACTCGCAAAATAAACTCCAGAACTGTAGCTGTCTGCCTCTGGTCCATTTTGCCAGCTGATGTGCACAGTGTGTGAATTGAATCAATTCCACCCCATTTGAGAAATACTTATCTCTGTTATCCTAGTGGACTGTTATTTGATTAAAATAATTGCCACTCGCTTAATTGTTTGCCTTCAGATAAGATTGGCTGGCTAATCAACTGAAATAAACGAGCCTGTTGCTGAAATTTCAGTACAGTCATACCTCATGTTACGTTTGCTTCAGGTTGCGCGTTTTCAGGTTGAGTCCCACGGTGACCTGGAAGTAATGGAACGGGTTACTTCCGGGTTTCGCTGCATGTGCAGACGCACAAAATGACGTCATGCACATGCGCAGAAGCGGCGAATTGTGGCACGCGCAGACGTGGGTTGCATTCTTTTCAGGTTGCGAACGGGCCTCCGGAACAAATCCCGTTCGCAACCAGAGGTACCACTGTAGATGTGCCTTTCGAGATATGAAATGAATGGAAAGACAGTTTAGTAGAGGAAAGCAAGTACAGTGGACGCTCGGATTGTGAACGTGATCCGTGCGGGAGGCACGTTCGTAACCCGCAGCATTCGCAACCCACGTCTGCGCACGCGCGGGTTGCAATTCAGCGCTTCTGCGCATGTGCAAAGCACAATGTGCTGGTCCGGGGGGGGGTACCATGCGGTGTAGTCCGGTCCTGGGTCAAGGGTCTGGAGGCTGTCCGTCAAGGGCGAAGCGGGATCCAAGGCAAGGAGCCGGGCGTGGTCAGGAACTCCAGAAGAGCAGGTCAGGGTGCTGGCAGGAACAGTCTAGCAACAACGTTGCTCCCGCAACCTGGGACTGGGCTGACTGGCCTTTATCTCCTCTGGGGCCTAGAGCGGTCCCGGCCCACAGGTGACCCACCTCCCCTGGCCTTAAGGCGAGCAGTCCTCCTGAGAGAACTTACTTCCCTCCGCCTCTCTGCCCTGAGCCTCTGCAGCTCAGGAGAGGCTGGAGGGTTACTGGACCCAGAGGCCGCCTCACCTTCCCCTGACAGGGCTGGGAGAGGAGCACCTGCAGGCAATGGGCCCTTGATCACCCCCAGAGCCAGAGTGGATACATCTGGTGTCTGCTCCTGAGGACCCGGCACAGGTGCAGGCCCTTCAGATTCAAGGCCCTGCCTGCAGGCCCTGGAGGTGGGGACTCCTGTGCAGGCTGGGATTCCTCCGATTCAGCCTCTGAATCAGATTCCCAGGCCATCACACACGATTTAGCGCTTCTGCACATGCGCGACTGCCTAAACCTGGAAGTAATGTACTTCCGGGTTTCGGCAGTCCGCAACCTGAAGAAACGCAACCTGAAGCAGCTGTAACCTGAGGTATAACTGTATCAGCCATGGGAGTGTCATCTCAACGCCAATACTCATTCAAGTCTCCCTGTGAGTTTGTGGCTAGAACTACCCCACTAGCACATAAGAGAGAAGTGCAGCTGGCAGACTAGTTAACTCCCAAGATGTGAGCAACCATAAAAAAGAAAAAAACTGCAGCAGGGAGTCCCGCAAGTAGTCTCAAAGTAACTCAATGGGATGGTTAAGAGGTGCAAGCTGGAATAGGAACACAGATCTATGTATAAAGGGTAGAAAAAAACCATCTTTCTGTCTGGATGGGTCACTTTTGTCCCAGGAAAATGCAGAGAAATAGCTTGTTGGCCTGAATCTGGAAGAGTGTGTTTCTGGTAGGGGTCAGTGGGGGAACTAAAGAATTTAATGCAACTGGGATTAAGCACACAGGATTTCGCTCACGGACCATGGAATACTGTACAAGTGAGAGAGGAATGAAGTGGCTGAAGCTCTGGGCAGAAGCACACTGCGCTGCAACACTTAGTTTCAGGCTCGAGTCGGTCGTTGCTGATTTCTTCTTCTGTAGCAGCAACACACCGGAAACAAAGTAGCTGCAAAGAACAGCAAGTGTCCCTTTAAATATAAGCCCTTCTTATTAAATGATCGTGAAGATAACCCTTTACCAGAATTAATTTACCAAAGCGCTACTATGACTGCTTTTGGCAGCAAGCTTTGTAGCGATATTTTGACCAAAGAACTGGGAATGGGTGGCCCAGAGAACATCGGTTTTTGGTGTAGCTACCTGGCTCACTTCAGGCAGGTATGTTCCCCTCCCCCAACCTCCACCTTTGGGTACTTGTGTGTTTTCCGTTCACCTGTTCCAAAAACGCCATGAGCAGCGTGTGACCCCAGGGGCCCTCTGAAAGAACGGCAGAGAGATGTTAAGTATTACAGGATCAACTTTTAATTTGATGGAGGAACACAGTGGGGGATGGGGGAAGAAATATTGACAAATACATCATTGGGGGGAACATTTCTTAAAACACCCTCAGTCACCTATTGGGTGTTGCTGACTGTGACTATGAACGGTGGAAACACAGAACTGCATTTTTGTTCCCCGGAGTTGGCAAAAAAAGACCCTCTATCCCTTGAAATCTCTAGCGCAGCCTCTGCCAACCTGGTTTGCTGCCCCCGCCAGGTTTTGGGCTACAACTTCCATCGGATCCATCCAGCAGGGCCTCGCTACTGTTAGCCCCATCATCGTACAGCTGTGTTCCCTAGCGATGGTGGGAGTTGAAGCCCGAAACCTCTGGAAGGCTGACCTAGAGCCACAGAAGCTGTTTCAGCCTCCCTCCTTGGGGAGGTCAGGGTTTGGGGTCTGTAAGGCAGGAGGGGCTGGTTGCCCTTTGGCTAATGCCCCACAGCTACCCTACCACAGCTACCTGGCTAGTAAGGGAGAGTCCCTATAACTCAGTGGCAGAGCATCTCCTTTGAGGTCCAAGACTCAGTCCCTGGCTTCTCCACTTTCAAGGATACTGGGGAAGAAGCCTAGGAGAGGTGGTCCTCAAAGACCCAAAGGAGATGTGAAATTTGGCGATAGACAATGCTTGGCTAGGTGGACCAATGGTCTGGTCGAAAATAAGGCCGCTTGGTGGATGTCCCTACTAGAGAGGGCCTCTTCTGCTCTTCGCTTGGCTGAATGAACGAAGAATGACTGCTGGTCCTATTAGTACTGTCCCTTTTTGCAACAGCTCCACCCAAGTGTCAGGCGTGGTATGGAAAGTGGAAGCGATTTGGTCACTACCAAGAGCTTAGCTGGGGTGGCTCTCCAAACTTCAACTCCCATCAGCCAGCACGGCCGATGGTCAGGGATGATGGGAGCTTGAGCGCAGAAAGATCCAGAGAGCCACACAATCCCTATTCCCTCTCTTAGGGCTTTCGCTTGACCCATATTTCGGTCATATTGTGTACCCATCAGTTGCCCCAGTCTGAGAGCTTCTCTCGTCGTTCCACCACAGTGCCTTGGGAAAATCCAGTCTTGCCCACTGAATTGAAGCCCGGCTAAGCATAATCTGATGGGGAGAGGAGTACAAACTGACTTGGGGAAGGCTGGCTGAGTTATATAGCAAAGGCGCCATTTTTACTGATGAAGTCCAGTAGTTGCATTTTATGAGTGCTGAGCCTTAATTTCACAAAAAGAAGACCTGTTACAGAGACCTGCTTAGTCATCTTCCCAGCTCAGCTCTCTCCTTCC